ATGGAACTGCTTGCTCCCTCTCGAAGAGATCGTATCTAGAGTTAGACTCTGGTTCTTGTTCTTAATCTAAAGACACAGAAGAAGTAGAAGGTGAAGTAACATGAGTTTCAGTAAGAGTTGTACCTTTAGCATTGGAGACTTCATGTTCTTCATCGATTCTAGAAGTGGATTTTGCAGTAGGTGCATGTCCAGAGATTACTTCTTCTTCGAAGATGTCTTCAAATAATTAAGCTAACTCTGATTCATTGGGTTTGCCAAGTGATGAATTAGATGCTCTTCCTTGAAGTCCGAGTCCGGAACTGTTGTGTCCAGAAGTCATTGATGTGGAGTCATCAAAGGACACAATGATGCTTTCTATGAAATTTTTTGTCCTTTTGATGTAGATTCTGTAGGCTTTTGCGGTTTAAGAGAATCCTAAAAAGATCCCTTCATCGGCTTTCTTATCGAACTTGCCAAGGTATTCCCTATCAATGAGTACAAAGCATTTGCACCCAAAGACATGAAAATACTTAACATTTGGTCTTCTCTGATTGATGAGCTCATAGGGTGTCTTCTGGTGCCTCTTGTTAATGATGGATCGATTTTGGGTGAAGCATGCAGTAGAAATTGCTTTAGCCCAGAAGGTGATGGGCAACTCCGATGAAGCAAGCATGGTCTTTGCTGCTTCCACAAGGGTTATGTTCCTTTGTTCTACCACTCCATTCTGTTGTGGGATTCTGGCTGCTAAAAAGTTTTGTGTGATGCCTTCATTGATGAGGTATTCATCAATTTTGGAATTTTTGAATTCAGTTCCATTGTCGCTTCTAACTTTAGTTTTTCGTTGTAAAAGGACTTGGAGCCTTTTCATCACCCCAATGAGTAGGTCAGGAACATTTGATTTCTTATTCACAAACTCAACCCAGGTGTATCTGGAGTATTCATCAACAAGTACAAGTATGTACTTCTTTCCTAAGAGGCTTTGTGTAGATATGGGCCCACAGAGATCAATGTGGATCATATCCAAGGGCTTGGTGCAGAGGTTTCTGACTTTGTTCGGTGAGAGGCCCGTTTTAGCTTTCCCATCTGAAAGGCTGAGCATAGATGATCTTTTTCAAAGTTGAGATCAGGAATCCCCTTGACCAGCTTCTATTTGGCTAGCTTTCTTAAGACATCAAAATTCAGGTGTGAGAACTTCTGGTGCCATAGCCAATTCATCGTTCTTATGGGATACAAGGCAAGGGGTGTCTTGTCCCTCAGAGGATTGAAAATCCAGAAGATAGAGATTCCCTTCTCTCTTGGCCTTGATAATGGTTTGATCGGGCTTTGTCTCTATGATACAGAAACCTTTGCAGAACCTAACTTCAAGACCCTTGTCACAGAACTGGCTTATGCTTAGTAAGTTGTGCTTCAAACCTTCAACATAATCCACTTTGCTGATGGAGATGTTGCCTTTGATGAGAGTTTCGTATCCCTTGATGGTTCCCTTGTTGTTGTCTTCAAAAGTGACAGAACCCCCAGAATTTTCGATGAAGGAGGTCAGCTGACTTTTGTCACCAATCATTTGCCTGGAGCAACCTAAATCCATGTACCATGGTTGCACATGCTGGTCCTGCAAGACAAATTAAGGGGTTTTAGGTACCCATTTCCTAATGGGTCCATGTTTGTTAGTAGAAGATACCACTCTCTTTTCATCGCCCTTAGCTTTTGCAGGCTTGGTTTTATTAGCATTTCCCTTGCCCTTGGACTTGGGCTTTTTCACGTTTTCATTGGTTTTATCTTTATAGCGATAAACGTGTTGGGAGAATATGTAGCGATGTGTCAACATGTGATTCCTCAGGTTTTGTAAAAGACCTAAACATTGACAATTATTATACTTTGGGCATGAATGTCTAACGTTCTTTTTATTTGCTGAAAATAAAGAAGTAAATGCAGGGGATGTAAATCCTGTTCTAGCATCGGTTGTTTTTACAAACTTCCTTTCTACTTCAGATTTTTTATCTGAAAGGGTCTTCGTCTTTACTTCTTTTCTCCTGAGGAAGGACTGCTTTTCTTCAGCTGAATGAGAGGAAAAATGGTGGTTAGTTTTCTCAGAGGCAGGCCACTTCTGTTTTTGCTCACGAGTAAACTTAATGAACTTAGAAGATATGCTAGGACCTTTTGATTTATCGTTGGCAGATTTAATATATTTCAATTTTCCCTTTCCTTTGTCCGAAGATTTCATCGATGGAGGAATACCAGATTTCATTGAGGATTTGGAGTTTTGAGGCTTCTTATACTCAATGATCTTTGGTGATTCACAGATTATCTCTTCTTTWGATTCGGAATCGAGAAAGTCTCTCGCTGATTTCTCGAAATCAAAATTAGCATGGATGTTTGTGGGAGGTGTGGGTTCAGAGGTTGATGCTTCAGAGTGATCTGCTTGAGATTCCATCGATTCTAACTTAGATGAACTTTTAGTTTTACTTGGATGGTTCATCGATTCATCAGCTGATGGTTCCTCATTAGGATTCTCCTTTTCATCAACAGTACTTGCTGATGAAGTGGAATTGACAACTAGAGACTCTGGCTTGACCATAGGGTTTCCATTTGTCTCTGATTTGGAGGTGTCATTCCTTTCATCAGAATTCTTACATGTACTGCTCTCGTACACCACATTTTCAAAATCCTGTCTTAAAACGATAGTTTTTCCATCGACTTTAACTCTTTTAAAATCTGCTTTTCGTTTCAGGGTAATTTCGGGTTTCTGAATGCATCCAAGTTTGAAAGTGGATTCAATGGTGGATTTCTTTGATTCAATGAAGGAGTCCACTTCATTGAATCCAATCCCTTGAGTGTCCATTTGACCATTTACCTTTTCATACACATCTTGGGCATCCTTGTATTACTCGCTTGTTTATTTCCAGAAGTTTTTCTTCCTCTGATTTTTTAAGGGCGGCGATGCGAGTCTTTTCTTTCATCAGATCAGCTTTTTCTTCGGTTAGAAGATCAGTTTCTCTTTTGTAGAAACTGACTTCTTTTTCGGCTTTAAGTCTTTCAGATTTTTCAAAGCTTAATTTTTCTTTAAATTTTAAAAAGTCCTCTGAAAGTTTTATTACCGTTAACTCTAGCTCAGATGGAACCGAGTTGGTTTTATTGAAAGTAAACTCACATACCTTGTCATCAGTGTCAGAGGTAGATTTTGCATTGGACGTGGCCATCAGACAGATGAGTGTTTTGTCTTCTTCATCGGATGAAGAATCAGACACCCAGTTTTCTTTCTCAGCCATCAGGCTTCGCTCTCTAGGATTGTACTTGTATTTATTCTTGTAATAGTCAGCATCCTTTACCAGTCGTCCTCTGCATTCTTTGGAAAAATGACCGATTTTTCCGCACCTGAAGCAGCGGAGGTCATTTTTCCTACCATCTTTGTCCTCTTTCTTTTCCTCTCTTCTATCTTCTCTTCTTTCTTCTCTCTCTTCTCTTCCATCTCTTCTGTCTTCCCTCTGATGAAATTTAAATGGCTTCCTTTCATAGGATGGCTGGTGTCTTTCCCTCTAAAACTCTCTTCGTTCTTAGGGTTTCTTGATGAACTTTTTCTGGAACTGCATTGTAATCAAGGCCAGAGATTTGGCAAAGGCTTTGATATCATCATCTGATTCAGATGTTTCATCTTCAGATTCTGATTCCACCACCAATGCTTTCTTTCCTTTCTTCTTGTGGTCTCTGGTGGAGGTCCTTGAAACTTCATTTTCTTCAGCTGCTAGAACCAGGGGTCCACCGATGGACACATTTTTCTTCATGATGTCGTTCTCTTGTGCAGCAAGCCTTACGTATACGTCATGGAGTGACCAGCCGTCTAAGTCCTGATTTGCTTGAAGGGACATTGACAACTGTGTCTATTCATCGCTGAGACTTTTAAGGAATAAAATATTGTTTTCTTCCTTTGTTCTGGAGATATCATTTCGGCGACATTGATTAATCAATGTGTTGAAATGATCGTATGTCTTCTGAATCGGTTCATCTGGAAGAGCCTTGAAGTTGGTGTATTCGTTGAGACATTGGGCTCTATGATTCTTCTTTGTTTTTGCCCCTCCTTCCAATTGGCTTGCCAGCTCATCCATAGTTCCTTGGCAGTGGAAGATGCATTAAGGGATTGGAAGATTTCGATGGGTATGGCCATGATTATCAGTCTTTTGGCCTTTTTGTCGGTCTCATCCCGCTCTATATCGTCTTCATCCTAATTCTTCTCATCCTTGGCATGTAGTAGGCGGGAATTTTAGTTGTGGTATTTGTTCCTGGGACTCTTGGAACAAGAGTCTGTGAAACATAGGGACCCTTCATGACAGATCGCAGAAGGTTTTTGTCCATCCCTTCCAGAAAATTCACCATTCGTATCCTCCATTGTGGGTAATCTTCTCTTTGAAGAGTTGTAGGTTTGGTGAGGGAACCAACATTGTAGGCGGAGTTCCAGTTGGCCATTAAGATTTTTAGAAGAGAGAAAATTTACGTTTTAGAGAAGATATTTTTGTGAAAAACATGAATTGAGAGATTTTTGATGATCGTTTGATTTGACAAACAATCAAGTGGCTCTAATACCAATTGTTGATCCCAGATCTCTCAATACCATTGGTTGTCGTACTGAGGCCTTACTATCCTTACGTTGGATATTTGGACAATTAAGCTGACGATGTCCATAAGCTCCACAGTCTCACAGTGCTCCTCAAGCCCCATCTCGAGCCTATTCCATGCAGGTATAATATAGTGAATACAAGTGAAATGAGTATATGAATTGTAGAACTAATACAAATTTATTGCAGTCAAACACACCTCGCGCATGCCAACGATGTGGCAAGGCGCACTCGGGATGATGTTTCTCTGAACCGTCCAAAATTTTGTGTTATTCCTGTGGTGAAGTTGGGCATATTCGTACAAATTGCCCAAGACGAGATCGAGCGTGTCATACTTGTGGAGCTTATGGACATCGTCAGCTTAATTGTCCAAATGCCCAACGTAAGGATAGTTAGGCCTCAGTACGACAACCAATGGTGGGAGGTTCCTCAACCCGAAAGGAGGAAGTACCAAGAGCAAGAGTTAGAGCGTTCCAGATCACAGCAGAGGAGGCTCGGGAGGAGCCAGAGCTCGTCACTGGTATATTTTTCGTGAATTCTCATCCTGCACGTATATTATTTGATTCTGGTTCTACGTATTCCCTCATGTCGTATGCCTTTGTTCGCTTTCTCGAATCTGTTCCTGTACTTTTGGATAGACCATTTTCTGTGGATACCGCTAGTGGAACCCCTTTAGTAGCTGATAGAGTATTCAAAGATTGTACATTAGTATTGGAGGATCAAAACTTCTCAGTAGACTTAATCCTTATGGATATTCGTGGCTTTGATGTGGTTATTGGTATGGATTGGTAAGTAGCAAATCGGGCGGATATTATTTGCGTGCAACGGATGATCCGAATACCAGTTAGTGAAGGAGATTATATTTATGTGTACAGAGAAAAAGGGGTCGGTGACATCAAGGTAATTTCTGTACTCAAAGCTCGTCGATATTCATCTAAAGGGTGCACTTCTTTCATGGCATATGCTTTAGATGCCACTAAAGAAAGAAATAAGTTGGCCAAGGATGTGCCCGTGGTATGTGAATTTCAGGATGTGTTTCCTGATGATTTGCCTGGTCTACCACCGGACAGGCAAGTAGAATTTCGAATTGACCTTGTGCCAGGTGATGCACCTATTGAACGGACACCCTATCGTCTTGCCCCCGCAGAAATGAAGGAAATGATGAGCCAATTACAGGGATTATTAGATAAAGGTTTCATCTGACCGAGTACTTCACCTTGGGGTGCACCGGTGTTATTCGTGAAGAAGAAAGATGGTTCATGTTAGGACTGAAAATCAGTATTAAATTGTATTCGTCTTGAAAGTTAAATATTGTCTATAATTGTAAAAGTCATCGTGTTTGACTTTTCTTAGGCAGGTTTGACTTTGACTATAGTTTAGATGTTTGACCATATAAATAGGAGTATTGTCTTTGTAATTAGAAGAGAGGAGAGCTTATTGTAAATCATATACGTAATAAGAGGTTTGACCGGAAATCTGGTGTTGACTTTCTCTCTCAACTATCTACATGTTCTTGAATGCTCATATCTGTGATCTGCCATGAATATGAAGTTGTATGAAGATTGATCAGTAAATAGGGACTCACAGTTCATTTCGCATGTGTATTGATTACAACGAGTTAAACAAAGTAAGAATCAAGAATAAATATTCGTTACCTCATATCGACAATTTGTTCGATCAACTGCACGGTGCAAGTTACTTTTCCAATATCGATTTGAGATTCGGATACCATCAGCTCAAGGTACGGGATGAAGATGTACCAAAAACGACTTTCCGTACCCGATACGGACACTAGGAGTTCTTGGTAATGCCATTTGGTCTAACGAATGCTCCGACAGCATTCATGGATATGATGAATCGAGTATGTCGGTCTATGCTYGATAAGTCTGTCATTGTCTTCATTGATGACATACTTGTGTATTCTAAGTCAGAAATTGATCATATTACGCATCTCCGTCAGATGTTGGAGTTACTAAGAAAAGATAAATTATATGCCAAGTTCCCAAAATGCGAATTTTGGCTCAGAAAGGTGCAATTCTTAGGGCATATGATCTCCGGTGAGGGTATTTCTGTCGATCCATTTAAAATTGAGGCAATTCAGAATTGGGAACAACCGAAGAATGCCTCAGAGATCCGCAGTTTTCTTGGATTAGAGGGTTATTACCGACGATTCATAAAAGACTTTTCAAAGATTTCCGTTCCCCTTACTTCACTCACTTTTAAAGCTGTGAAGTTTGTATGGAATGAAGAACAAGAGAAAGCTTTTCAGCTCTTGAAACCTTGTTTGACGAACGCTTCGATTCTTGCCTTACCCGAAGGTAACGATGACTTTGTGGTCTATAGTGATGCGTCGAAGTTGTGATTGGGTTACGTATTGATGCAACGAGGCAAGGTGATTGCGTATGCCTCCCGACAGTTGAGGATTATGAGAAGAACTACCCCACTCATGATCTTGAGTTGGCGGCGGTAGTGTTTGCCTTGAAATTATGGCGTCATTATCTCTATGGGACGAAATGTCAATTATTCACGGATCACAAGAGTCTGAAGTACATTTTCGATCAACAGACTTTGAATATGAGACAGCAAAGGACCATGGAGTTAATAAAACACTATGACTGTGAGATACTCTATCATCCTGGTAAAGCCAACGTGGTGGCGGATGCTTTGAGTCGAAAACGTATGTCTCTTATATGTGTTACGCAATCACTCACACGTCTACACAGTCCACGCTTATTGACGACCTGCGAAGATGGCAAGCTGAGGCTTTAAAACCTGAACATATGAAGTCTGAACGGATAGTTGGATGTGTAGATTCTCTCTCGGAAGATAATTGTGGCGTGAAAGTGTTTAGATCCCGAATCTGGGTACCGAAGCTTGGTGGTGTGCGAGAGACTATTCTGGCAGAAGCTCACAAATCTAGAATGTCCGTTCATCCCGACAGTACAAAAATGTATCATGATCTGCGTACCTAGTTTTGGTGGTCGGGCCTGAAAGTGGATATCGGCCGTTATGTTGAGAGATGCGTTACGTGTTTGCAAGTGAAGGTTGAGCACCAAAAACCTTATGGTTGTTTACCACCTTTGGAGGTGCCAGTCTGGAAATGGGAAGAGTTGACCATGGTTCTCGTAACGAAGCTATCGAAGACTTCTCGTCAACACGATAGTGTTTGGGTGATTGTGGACCGGTTAACAAAAAGTGCTCATTTTCTCGTGGTTCGGGAATATTATTCTATGGATCGTTGGGCACAAATATACATTGATGAGATAATTGCCCGTCACGGTGTACCGTTAAAGGTAGTTTCTGATCGTGATTCTCGATTTACCTCAAACTTTTGGACTAGTATGCAAAGAGAACTAGGGACTCGTGTCACTCTTAGTACCGTGTTTCACCCCCAAACCGATGGACAGTCAGAACGCATGATTCGAACAATGGAGGATATGTTACGAGCTTTTATGTTGGAGTTTGGTGGAAGCTGGGATTACCACTTGCCACTTATAGAGTTCTCGTATAACAACAGTTATCACTCCATGATCGGCATGGCTCCATTTGAGGCTTTGTATGGACGTAAGTGACGTACGCCTCTCTGTTGGCAAGAAACCGGAGAGAAAGTGTTGGCTGGACCCGAGTTGATTCAAGTCACACATGATAAGATATGGGTTATACGTGAAAGAATGAAAGCAACCCAAGATCGACAGAAATCTTATGCCGACAAACGACGACGACCGATTCAGTTTGAAGTGGGAGATATGGTGATGCTGAAAGTATCACCTTGGAAGGGAATTCTACGGTTTGGTAAGAAAGGGAAGTTGAGTCCATGTTTCGTTGGACCCTTTAAAATCCTTGAGTGTATTGGAAAACAAGCATATCGCTTGGAGTTGCCAGAAGAACTCTCTGGTATTCATGACGTTTTCCACGTTAGCTATCTAAGGAAATGCTTGGGTAAGCATGAGGAGACCGTTCCTTTGGCAGAGATCAAGTTGGATAAAAGATTGAGGTACATAGAAGAACCCGAGGCCATTCTTAATGAAAGAACCGTTAATCTCCGAAACAAGATCGTAGATTTGGTCCTTGTTAAATGGAAACATCACTGTGATCTGAATTGGACGTGGGAGAGCAAAGATGAAATGAAGGCCAAGTATCGATAGTTATTTGAGAGACCTTGATTTCAAGGATGAAATCCTCAAAAGGAGGAGGTATTTGTAACATCCATCTTCCTAATACGCTTACTTATGTGTTGAAAACATCGACTTTTCGGGTATGGTTTTGAGCATTGGGTTCTAACGAATTTACCTCAAACTTATTTTTTTTTGGAAATATTTTCTGGAATCTTTTTATTGGAGTGTAACAACTCTGCACTTTTGGATTTTCAGGTTAGAACCATATTTCG